CCCCCTGGAGGAACTTCCAGGACTTCTGTATATCACTATAACTGTAAACTGGGTAGAGGGCTTCAACAGTCTGATCCGACGACTGGAATGTGCAAGTCCACAACACATCTAAGTTACAGCTCACATACAGTACAACGCCTCCGCCTTGGCGACCAACGGAGCGATCAGTTCTAATCAGCGCGTAGCCAGGTAAATATACCTCACCGTCCGTGATATCCGGAGACAACCACGTCTCAGTGAAAGCAAGTATGTCGGGACGAGATTTGTCTACAAGTAGACCCAACTCATGCACCTTGTTCCTTAGGCTACGCACGTTGCTAAGTACTACCTCAAGGAAGTCGGCACGACCATCCCTGGGTCGTGCGCCATCAGGATTGGTTCTGATAGGGCGGAAAGTAACTTCCGGCTGACCACCTGAAAACCCACCAGACGGAGGCCTTGCTCACCAGCCGCCCGTCTAGTTTTGAGGCCTTTGATAGCCTCCTTTAACTTCAACCTATCTGCCAGTGGTAGGTCCGGCTGAACGCTGACACCACTACCCTTAAGTTTGAATGCAAATCGCAGTAACGATTTGCGTTCCTCCGGGGTAGAAAGGACTACGCGAAGTAGTCGGGGTCGTGGATTTGGCGCAGCGATAGGAACGTTCCCCAATCTGGTCAGCTTTCTGACAGTGACACCAAGGAAACCAGGTGGAAGCAGCTTGCTGACACACAGTTTCAGCCACTTGATGTCATCCAAGATGCGTTCCCTTGGGAGAACGGCCTCAGATTCAGTAACGTTACGAAATATAACGCTACTATCAGTGAAAGAGTCGGCACGACGAGGAGTGTTTACCCCACGTGCCTTGGAGTCGACACCTGTACCAGCTGTTTTCACCACTGGCGGTGGGACTGTCCCTGGCTTCCCAAACGACGCCGAAGCAACGGTAGCGTAGGTTTTCCGCTCTACTGCCGGCGTCTTACTGGTTCCTGGGTCTTCAAGCCCCTTCGAAGTTTTACGAAGCAGATCTTGTCCGCTTCTTCTTTTGGCTCACTGGAGCAGGGGCCGTTGACTTTGTATCGCATTGAGCAGTTACCAGCATTTCGTCAGAACAGGCTGGTTCACTGGCGGCCGAGACAGTCAGCGTCTGTGAAAAGTTCTGCGTTCAATCGTCAGAGAAGTTTATGACTGTCAAAGACGGCATCATTTTCGATGCCGTGGCAACTATTTCTCTGGGTTTAGCAGAGGGTTTTGATATTTCCGCACCCCAATTTTCTTCACTTTGATCGGATCATGAGGACCGCCAGCAATGCTACCAGCCGCATACTTGCAAAAAGCTGTGGCAGATGCAAACTTCTTTACATCGGACTCAACCTCATCAAGTTTCCGACAATAGTACGCACCAAAAGACATAATATCTCAGATTCATCCACCATGATGACAGTTACAAATGTGGCGCCAAGTGATTTCTCATACGCCTGTAGTCTATCACAACAACTAACTTTGAGAACCACCATAACCTTCTTCAATACAAAGCATACACCGAGTTAACATGTGTATACTATATATATATATATATATATATATATATATATATATATATATATATATATATATATATATATATATATACAAACCGCCATCTAATGGCAATCTCTCCATTTGGCGTAGCATACCTACCGAACCAAACCCGCCGTTAGGCAGATTTCAGATGTGAGAAAGGGTTAAATGCGCGCGAGAGGATCGGGGTCACCAGGTAGTAGGACTAGTAAATCCTTGTCCGAGACGTTTAGCTTAAACAACCGCGGATGGCAGAATGCAATTGAGATCGGACTCAGGGGACTATGTTTGATGGGCTATAAAAGCCCCGGACGGATGAAGCGACCAGAGGCAACCATCTGTGTCGCGACTCACCAAACGTCAAAATGACAAACCGATTGTGGGCCAAGACAACCCTAGTGTAGGTGGGGTTAAAACAAGGAACAGTAAAGTAGCGTTGGTCAGCAAGGAAATAGGACCTAAAAGATAGTGGTTTTCGTTTGGGGCGCAACCAGCTCGATGCAGCTGATTAGGCAACTTTTACGCGTGAAAGCCCGCTTCATCCATGCCGCACTGGAGCTGGAGAGCGTTTGCCAGTGGGTACAAAAAGGTTTTATGGATCACGGGACAAGCGTATCCTCCAACAGGCGCGTTTTCAATATCGCTGGACTGCTGCATCCTACATTCGGAATGGAAGGAGGCAATCATCTGTCCGATTTTAGCAGGCGGTAACAGCGCTCTACCAGCGGAATAACGGCCTGTCAGTTTGGCAAGCGTAGTAGTCAAGTTGTTTGAAAAGCTGATAAGGGATTCAGTGGAGAACCACCTGAATAGATTCAACCTTCTTAGTGTTGCGCAACATGGATTCTGCAAAGGATTTTCATGTCAGACTAATGTTTTTGTAGCTGGTGAAAGCTGGGCCGAGGCGGTAGACACTTGTCTGACTGTAGAAGTGCTATTCGTAGATTTTTCGAAAGCTGTTGACACTGTTCCACATCTTCGGCTCTCACTAAAGTTGTGATCTTATGGGATATCTGGTCGCGCCCTTCAACGGATATCTGCCTTCCTTAAGGGGAGAGAACAGTGCGTACTGGTGGGGCTTAGTCTTTCGCTCAGGCAAGCTGTCCTTAGTGGCGTTCCGCAGTGTTCGGTATTGGGGCCATTGTTGTTCGCGATCTATGTAAGTGACTTGCCGGGAGAGTTGGGTGTCAGCACTAAGGTTTGTTGACCATCTTGAGCTCTGGAATATTGTGGATATTCCGGGGGTCCTGAGGCAATTCAGCATGCTTTGGATAGGCTCTGGGAATGGTCTACCTTATGGTTGATGCTCATAAATAGGGCCAAGTGCTCTGTTCTCCGAATCGGAGCTGCTAATCCTCCCACCCGATATGTTGTCGGTGGTGGTGAACTCACTGTTGTCGCTCAGCAGGTTGATTTAGGGTTCGTACACGCATCAGCACTTCATTCTTGAGACAACTGGAAGAAGGCTGCTTGTAGAGGGTTTCGTATGATGTGGTTAATACGCCGCCCTTCCGGAATCCTAACGACCAAGTTGTTTGTGAAGCTATTTTCGGCATTCGTCCGACCCCACATGGAATATTGTATTCAGGCTTGTCCACCATGTCTTAACCGAGACAAAATGGATTTGGAGAGGGTGTTACCGGTGGGCCCTCGGCTAGTGCAGGGTCTACGGGGACAGACGTATCCCGAACGCTTGCTCAGTTTGGGGATGTACTCAATGCACTACCGAAAGCATCAAGGGGACCTGATTCTCACTTATCGTATTTTGACGGGTAAGATTGGCCCGGACATGTCAGGGCTATTTAGTCCCGCTACCTTACCTAATCTCCGCGGTCACCCCCTGAAACTGCATAAGTCACGGTCTGATAGGATTAGGACGGAAACTCGTCCGTCGCGCCGAGTTATACATCGCTAGAATTCGCTTCCAGATCAAATGGTTAGGGAACCTACGGTTAAGGGTTTCGCGCGCCAGCTCAATGCTCTTGGGTGGCAAAAGCAAACTTTTCCTTTTTCCTAGCTGACTCACATTCATTTTTCAGTTCTATTTAAGTACTAAAATATCTTGGTATTCCACTTGATTAACTCTTTCCACTTTCTCTTTCGCCTTCAGCGTTTACTTTTCTCTCTTTCTTACTTCACGTAACCAGCCCAACAGGGACTGCTAGGACAGGATACGTGGGCATTAATTGGTTGGACAGGATATGATGCGGTCTTTGTTTTAGGTCCATCATTATTTCAAAGTTCACCAACTTCTGGTTCAACGACCAGCCGAAGAAGGAACACTCACGAGCTAATCCTATCGTTCCAGTCCCGCCTGAACTTGAACTTGAAGTTGCACTTTGACATCTACCTAGTGTGAATGCGTATTACATCCACCACCGAAGGCTTCGATGAGACGAAACCCACACCCTCTTGTAACGGAGACAATTAGACGGGGCTTTTATGGACGACTTAGCTAGGCCAGGTTGCATGGACCTCGCGGTCATCCCATGAAGCTGCATAAGGTGCGCGAACTCCGTTAGCCTATAGTGTTATTGAGCGCTATAAGTAGCTTTCACAAATTGTGGCTAATGGAACCATTTAAAGGTTTTCTCTTAACTTGGAAGCCTTTGGGTGGCACAAGAAAGCTTTCCCTTTAAATAGTATATTGGTTGCTATACTCCAGACCTTGGTAAGCTCGCGCATGTAAATGACCTTTAACTGTACCTTCTGTTTTTCTTCTATGTCTTGCTTACACCACTCGGCCGGCGCAGCAAGGGTTGCTTAGGCGTGTAAAATGGTTACTAATGGTTGAATAGGATGTTGCCCTTTTACTTTATTAGGATCTCGGAGCACCTAAGCATTTTCTTGCTAAACGATCAACACATGGCGGAAAACTAACAGGTTTCTTTATCGTTCTAGTCTCAGTTGAACTTGAACTGGAACCTGCCACCAACCCGGATAAAAAAGCGATTGCGGAGTACACTCGGCACATACAAAATACAACAACTTATTAGCACAAAATTACCCCTTTTGGATTATGTATCCGCAGTACCAACACATTTGTTGGTTTAAACAGTCTAATAGTTGTTTATTGCTGTGTCGCCGTATTTATGAAAGGTAATATTTTCCGGATGGCTTGTCCCTTCTCTCACTGTTTGTCCAAACTAATGCTCTGGTATTTAACTACGCATCAAGTATCTGTATTTTAATCTCATAAAGCCAATTGTTGTTTTACTTCGTTTAGCTTATATACAAAGAACAGTGACGTGGAGAATGCTAGTTTTACAAACGCTACGTAATCGGTTTTAATTAAACGCTTTTAATGCATTGAAGATGAACTAACGGTTGTTAGTTTGTGAAAGTATACAGTTGTTTCTAGATTGCTTGCATTTTATTTTGTATTTTGTGTTCCTTGGTTCATATAAGAAGCAAATACTTATGTTTACGTATATGCTCACCAAACTATAATCGCTTTAGGCATGTACAGGTAAGCTTCTTTTTTTAGGTAACAAGGAGCATTTCATGCTGACGTTGCTACATACCTGTGGTTATTTCAAAGTGACAACCTTCACTACTGGCTCCGCATGCAGTGGTGACCGAGTAACATACACTGGAACGTACATTAAAGCTCCCTAAGTGGCTGTTTTATGTCTTAGTCCGTGTCTTTATGACGTATATTAGATTAACCTTTATAAATAAAAGAACATTTTCAGCGAAGCACTAGTGTATGCCGCGAACGCATTATTTCTAGTCACGAATATCGTCGACGCACAGCGGTCGTCCAAAAGCTAACATTGCGAAAAGACAAAGCGCATTCCTAAAGAAGTAAGGCTACACTCATAATCGTTTGAGTAAGATATGTCTCACATAGACTACTAGCGGCGCACTAATTAATCACTACGATTGGAATAACTTGCCGAAGTATGTGGTCGAGGCCCAGACGGAGGAATGTTTCAAGCGAATGTTAGACTCTTATCTTTTGAGTACGATGGGTCCTTGCAGTTTCCAGTGTAGCTGTCAAGGTCCCTTGTGGATTACTGCATAACATCGAATCGCGGCCTCCACACAATGATTGGGAAGCGATGGAGCTGACAAAGGATTTCTCCTTCTGCTCTCTACAATCCTATGAACCTATGAACCTATGAACTACGCGTTAGGGCTTTGGCTGCACGCAGTGACTTAGTCACCCATGATCATGTTGATGATCATGTTGAAATGAATAACTTGAAGTACCAGTAGTTTTCTGATTTAAGCACACGGTTATCATTTTACTTTTGCTTATCCTAGCTTATGCCATTATTTTAAAGTAATTTCGTACTAATTCATAATTGCGAATTGATCATGACTCAGAAACCTTGTTAGGTTTCTGACCTTTGACTTGTAAATTCCCGTCTTTTTAAGCTGGCTTTCATCATTGTTTGCGCCTATATTATCAGTAAAAAGAAAGCTAATTAGGTTGGTTTTTGTTCATGTGGACAAACACAAGGACTGTCCTAACAACGTAGCTACGTTTATATTTCCAGTAACAACATAATGCCGGTTAATATATTTGTTAACAAATAGAGTTGGGTTGTGCAGTTTCTTCACTCAAGTCATGGAAAACACAAGGTTAGACAGCGACACGATGTCACTTTATGCAATAATTTTCACGAATACATCAGTGAGTCTAACTTTTGCTTTTGTTTATCATCAACATAGCTTTACCCATCACAGTTTCGCCACAACTCGTCTCCCCTTCTATACAAAGTTTGATCACTTGCGCATGTACGCAAATAGTATGTTCTCAAAAGTTCCCTGGCGAAAGTTATTTAGCAGTACAATGTTTAACCCATTTTGTTCAACAATTTTACCGCAGGTCTAGTATTCGCCTATTCATATTCTACTACTGGACAAAATATGCCGCTTAGACATCGGCCAATGCGTTTCAAATTTATTACTTCGATACTCGCCTTTGGTTTGCATCCTGTATGTTTAAGTTTATTAGTGCGTAGCACCACCAGTGTCGACTAGTGTGTACGACTGATTAGTGTAATTTTTGCCTACCTTCTTTGCTGATAAGTGACTGCCTATATACTAGCATATGTTGACATTTTACTCAGTTTTATTTTCTTTAGTTCATTCATTTGTGGAGAAGAAAGGAAGTTCTTTGTCAGTCCTGTCGTTTCCCGTTCACTGTATGGAGCATATGAGTTGATGCGACAAATTGTTGTACAATAGGTATAACGGCCACAGTCAACGCAGAAAGGGCCATGCTTTTTCAGTAAATAGATTTCTAGCAACCGCTTTAAACCTTCCAGTATTTGCGCACTGACGACTAGCTCAGGTAAATTGTACCAGTCATTTACCACATCATCATCATCAGCATCCAACACGTTAGCTAGAGGTGGGGAACACCTCAGCTACTGTGCCGCAATACAAAGAGAAAAAAGGAGAGAAAAAACAACTGGTGCAAGCTGGCTGAGCTACCGGTAACGGATGGGCATCGTTTCGGTAAGCTACCAGCCGGCTGCTGTGCACCCAAAAAGAAAAAAATATTATGCAAGATTATATAAAGCTAAATAATGAGATCGTGGTTGGAGGGGAGGCTAAGAGGGATGGGGTGGGACAAAGAAACTCACAGCACGAACGCCACTGAGGTCGGCTCCTAGCCATATCAGCAAGTGTGTCCAACCAAACGTGTTCATGGTCATTCGACCCCAACCAGGGAGCCGAGTCACTCCAACCGATGCCAGCTCAGAAGTGAGGGTCTTTATTCCTCTCGACCAAGTCATCGCTTGGCCACCCCTCCTCTTCTTCCATCCACACCCCCGGCGCGCAAACAACACACGTCGCGGAAGTCGGTGGACTGGCATGCGTAACACGTGGCCGAGCCATCGGAGCCTGGTGCGTGAAATAACGGTGCTGAGCGGTTCAGTTCCTTTTCCTGTGCCATAAACAAGGCGTCGAACACGCTCGTTGCTCACGCGGTGTTCCCACCAGATGTGAGCTAAATTACGAAGGCACCGGTGGTCGAACGTAACCAGCCTCTTCAGGTCCGCTGCTTTAAGCGGCCAGGTTTCACAACCGTACAGTAGGGTCGAACGTACTGCTGCATTGTACACTCTACCCTTCAGGGTGAGAGTGAGGTCGCGCCGGCGCCATAAGTGGCGAAGGTTAGCAAAAGCGCCCCGAGCTTTTGCTATACGATTCGTGATTTCATCTTCAATCCCACGGGCGCTGATACAACTTCCCAGGTAGTTGAATTTTTGAACGACTTCTAGCTGATCCCCACCAAGGGTCAGCGTAGGAGGCGGTCCAGACCAACCTTGGAGAAACGCTTTGCACTTCTAGGGTGCGAAGCAAAGCCCGAAGTGACGGACAGCTAGTGCTAATCTGTCCAGTGCCGCTTGGCACGTTGGTGAGCTGTCACAGATCAGGGCAATATCATCAGCATACTCTAAATCAAGAAGTCGTTCTCCTGGGAGTAACTCCACACCTTCTAAGTCGTGTCCTGTAAACGCGATTTCCATTACTTCGTCAACAGCGAAGTTGAAGAGGAAAGGTGACAGCGGACATCCTTTTCTCACACCGCTGGAGATATTAAGGGGCGACGACAACCTGCCGTAAGCCATCACTCTGCCCGAGCTACGCGCATATAATGCTGGAATAATATTCGCATATTTCTCTGGGACACCTTTCCTGAGTAGACAGTCCCAAAGTGCATGTCTATCCACCGAATCGAATGCACCTTTGATATCGAGGAACACGACAACGGTGGGCCGCCAATATATGTGACGGTGCTCCAACAACTGACGCAAGGTGAAGATGTGGTCAATGCAGCTACGACCTCGACGAAATCCAGCTTGCTCTTCGCGAATCTGGCTTTCACGAGTGCCAGTCAGTCTGTGAAGGATGACAGAGGCAAGCAATTTGGAGGCGATGGAGATCAGACTGATTCCTCTATGGCTGCCGCATTCCGATCGTGAGCCTCCTTTGAAATTTGGGACTATGATGGACCGGCTCCAATCGGTTGGGACAGTTTCCTGCTCCCACAGTTTGACTAGTAACTCGTGTAAATCATCCAAAAGAGCAGGTCCTCCGAATTTGAAGAGGGCTAGAGGAAGGTCATCAGGTCCCGCGGCTTTGTTCAACTTCAAGAGTCCGATCTGATGTTCAACTTCTGAGCGAGAGGGTGGATCCAAAGCGACAGCCCACGGAGCAGGGCGATCACTGGTCGGCGAGAAATCTAACAATTCCGACCGATTAAATTGCCTTTCAAAGTGCTCAGCCCAACGTTCCAGGCGTTTTGATAAGTTGTGGATAGGCTGTCCACTCTCGTCACGTATAGTTTCACTAACACCAGGTCTCCTGCTGCCCGTTTCCCGTATAAGACGGAATAACTCACGATGGTTACCAAGGGCAGCGGCCATTTCCATCTCTGTTGCACGACGAGACCACCAGGATTCGCGGTCTCTCTTCAGGCTAGCACGGAGTTTCGCCCGGAGCTCTTTGCGAGTTTCATTGTGTTCGCTTCCAGCCGGAATATGCCGGCGAGCATCGATAAGTTCCAGAGACTGCGAAGAGACCCAATGTTCCTGTTGACGATTAGACATACCACATGAGGATTTGCCTGCTGCTAGTAAGGCCTGTTGCATATGAGACCAGTGAGCTTCAATTGCATCCAGTGTGCGTTTATCCAACTCGGATGACAGCGTAATTTGATAGGCGTTCAGAACAGCTGGCTTCACCAGTCTGCCGGTGTCAATGCGCTCACAACATCGTCGCGGGCGTCCGCCGAAGCGCATCCTCAGGTCAGCACATACAAGTGCATGATCGGTGTCAACACCTGTGCTCCAAATCGAGCGACAGTTCTGGACGCAGCCTCTCCAGCGGTAACTGATTGCAACGTGATCGATTTGCGTCCATAGCTGGTTCGAGGCTGGTGGGCGCCAAGTCACCCTCCGGCGGGTGCTGTGTCGGAAATTAGTGCTCGCAAGAAATAAGCGAGCATCCTCACACAGATGAAGTAACCGCTCACCGTTATCATTACGGGAGCCTATACCATGTTGGTCGCCCAGATGCAGCTCATCTGTGGATAATTTTCCAACTTGAGCGTTCAGATCCCCAGCCAGCACTACAGTGTCCGAGCTTCTTCTGTGGCGAAGCAGTTCGTTCAGTTGGCGATAGAAGTCGTCTTTTACCGAGTCATCGCTACAGTTTGTCGGTGCATGGGCAGCGATAACGAATAGACACTTGTTAGTCCCACACGACTTCGAAGTTTTGAACGAGCCAGCGAATCGGACCGCACACATCCGGCTACTGATTGGAATCCAATCAACCAGAGCAGCTTCAGCCCGGGGACTCAGGGCAATACCAACACCGGCTTGGCCGGTGCTCGAAGCTGCATCGTCACCGGATAGGCGCAATGAGAAAGTGTTGCTAGTGTCACTTGAAGGGGATCGCAAAGTGAATACAGAGCTCGAGTCTTGCAGGCGGGTCTCCGATAAG